CAGCAGCATTAATAACAGGAACTTTTTCAATAATAGTGAATTCCACAATAATACAAATACTACTAATAATTATATTGTTAATCATTTATCTGTGAAATTGTACATTTATTGTTCTGGAATGTGTGTATTAGAGGAGCACTTAATTTTGTTTTATTGTGTTTTTGTTCCTGTCTTTTGCATGTTTTTTCTATATGTGTTGCTGTGTGCATAAGCTGATGAAAGGCATCCTCAGTCTGAATATCTATATTTTCGTTCCTGAAGAAGGACGTTTGTGACTGTGACCAGTGGAGGGCAGCATTTATGATCAGCCAGAGAATTCAGACAAAGATACAGAGACAAAGAAAGCACATCAGATGAAAACAAGTCTTTGCTTTGCTTCTTATTTATTGTCAGCATGTGAGCAGATAATGATTCACATGAGGTATTAGACCTCTGTCTACAGTTAAAGATGGTGGGCTTTATTTTCCTGATGCAGCTCAGGCAGTCTCAATGCAGCTGAACTCCTTCCTGGTGTTTCTACAACTAATAAAGTCCAACTTGAGTGAGATGGCCTCGACCAAAGCAGCCATATGTGTGTTGTTGTGTATGTGTAACTACAGGAGCTCTGCATTTCATTCATTACTGCTGTTTGATTTCACACACGTCTGTCATTGCAACATATTTATGGTGATGTATGAAAAACTGCTGCTGGTTTATTTTATTTGACTGCTTCGTTCAAAAACATGAGTCAGCTGTACTGCACTGGTGGATTTTCCTTGTGCTCAACTTTAAGAAAATAAAGCTCAAAGAAAGGTTACATGATTAATGAGAGAAAAGAAAAGAAATCAATCATTAGAAAGCAGTTGCTAAAATTTTGCTGAATGTTTGTCCTGCAGATTTACTGCACGAGACGAAACTTCATGCTCATGGCCTTCAGGGAGTAGCTCCAACCCTTCCACGGGTACCACTCCATTCCACTTGCACCATAAGTGGCCATAACTCCCCAGCGATAAATACCAGTAGGGTTTGAATGGTGACAGTTGTTGTACCAAAATGCCCCCAGGTATAATTGGGCACAGCTA